ATTTCTTGCCGGGCGAGAAAATACAGCGCGCGTGGGACACCAGGTTATTTTCATAGGAAGAGAATAACAAATTCTGCAGCACAAACCTGGGTGGGAAATGCTGCAGGTGGGCCCGCGCGCGCGCGTGGGACACCAGGTTATTTTCATAGGAAGAGAATAACAAATTCTGCAGCACAAACCTGGGTGGGAAATGCTGCAGGTGGGCCTGGGAACATTCTTAAGTTTTGTGGGTTTCGATGTGTTTGCAACATAAATCGATTCCTAAATTATGGTTTCTTTCCTCACTTAGGTTTTTTTTTTTTTTTTTTTTCCTTTTGTATCTGATCCCTCCCCTCCTCTCTCCCATCCTTTGAGGACGTTGAACCAAATCAAATAAACTCAATGCCCATAAAATGAAATCTGTTCTTGGTGAAACATTCATCTTCCTCACTCTATAGATGGAGACAATGAGGCACAGGGAGGGTGTCAGATTTGCCTGAGGGCACACAGCTAGCATGGAACTGCTGGTCCTGTGACACTTGGTCTCTGTCCCCTAGCTGGGCCACTCAGTGGCTGTCTCACTCTAGGTGCTGTTTGTTCCTCCTAACTTCTGTTTTGTGCCTAACTCTCTGTTCGGCAGAGATTCCTAATCTGGGCTGGAAGATAAGCCTAGCTATCAGAGTCCCCTTACTTCCATCAATAAGATGCTGGAGGGTGGCCTAGCCCTTTCCACCCATCCTGAGTCGCTTTGGGAGCAGGGATACCTCTTCAAACACAGGCAGCTACCAGGGTCCCAGGAAGAGAAAGGAAATGAAGTGACAAGTGTGAAGCTGAGCAGTCAGGGGCAGTGACACCATGTAAATTAAATGAGTGTGAGTACTTCCCTCTTGGGGTCAAGTTCACCCCCTGCCTATTGCCTGCCTTTCCTGGACACGCTCCTTCATGGCACTGAAGGACAAGGGGGGGGGGTGCCATCCATGGCTTTATGAAACCCAGAGACGCACCAAATGTTTGCTTTGATGGACTTTTTCTCCCTGCCATATGCAGGGCAGCCCACAAGTAGCTTTAACAAGAAAAGCAGGCTTTGTTCTAAAGACTCACTGTGTTTCCCCAATGAAAATTCTATTTGACAACCACCAGAAGGCTCACAATGGAGGGTACCCAAAGCTCTGGCTTCTCCCATCCTTTTATTTTCCCTCCCATTCCTGCTCCCCCATTCCCTACCTCAGGCTTTTTTCTTTTTTTTTTTTAAAGCTATTTCTTTTATTTCTTGAGATAATAGATCTGTCCTCAAGAAGCACTTATTTTTTTGGTTCTCCAGACCAGTGGTCAGCTTAATCTGTATTTGGACACATGCCTAGGGAGATGCTTTGATATTAGAAGTTTATCATTCAAAACAGTCAAATCTTAAAAATCAAAATGTTTACTCTTTCAAGCTTTAGAGATGGGAAATTTCATTTGATTCCTGGGCTCAGGCTATCACACATCCCCGCACACAGAATAAGGGTATTTATGCAATCATCCCCTGTCCATGTAAGTGGAGATCCTATTTAAAAAAAAAAAAAAAAAGCAAGCCTGGTGAGTGCTTCACTGCATGAGAATATTAAAGGGCACTGTTTTCCAGTGGACTCATTATAGGATAGAAGTTTAAGCACCAGAGGGGGTGATTTTCATATGAATGTTGAGTGCTGCTAGGCACAGACAAGAGCCTATTGGGTACACAGAAAACCAAGTCTCCTTAAAGAAGTAGAGAAACTGTGAGTGACAGGTAGAGACAGACACCACTACACCCTTTATCAAAGAAAACTTTGAAGATTTTGTGGGGCTTTCTTCCTTGAACTGTCACAAATCTCAACACAATTATAAATGAGTGGTGTTCAGTGCCACATCTGTGCCATTTATACGCCAGCTGCCAATGGCTGCCATGATGGAGGATTAGCATTAAAGAAGGTTCCAAGTTACTAGGCCTCCACACAAAACAGGGAGCGTGGTCTGAAATGAGACATCGTACCCAATAAGTCATACAAATCAAAACCCAAATAAAAGCTCCCAGCTGAACAAAACTTAGATAAATAGGTGGACAGATTGATTAATAAATATCTCCTTCTGTGTAAGCAGTGACCAGGTCCCTACAGGAAAAATAAGCAAACAAGCCATACTCCCAGTTGCACAGTACAGACTGTGTGAACTGAGGCTGGTACAAGAGATGGGGTTTATGACATGATTCATCCTCCTTTGTCTAAATGGCAGAGAAAGAACCAAAACTGCAAAGCTCAGTGAATGGGTGGGAGTCTGGAGGTGAAATCACAAAGAGTCTATTGTCCACTGGGAGCTATCAACCTCTACATCTCTATGTTTTTACGGTTCCAGGAAATGCCTTATCAGGATTAGAGGTCCAAATGGTAATTCTTGGAGCCCTGACGGTTCTGCAGAGGGGCCTCTGAGGAAGCACATTGACAAAGGAGTAAAGGCAAAATAAATAGAGCAGGGCCTATACTGTTGTGGGATATTTTGATAGTACTCTGACACTCCCGACACTGCCAATAAAGTTTACTTTGAATCAGAGGGCGGAACAAGCTACTAGCTGACCAAAAGCCATAGAGATTTTGGAGGACCAAGGATGTATAGAAAGACATAGGAAGTAGTGTGTGTGGGGGGGGGAGGGGCTTAGAAAGATTCTTGGCCTTTTTAGAGCAACGTTGATAAAGAATAATTAGATAAATGTTTCAGCCTAAGGCTGCCTTTCAACCCCAAGTGGTTCAGAGTTCAATTGTTTTGTTATTGTCTTGTTTTTGAAACATGTAGCTGAGGTTGCAATCCTCCTTGCAACCTTGCAATCTAACTTGCAATCCTCTTGCCTCAATCTCCTAAATGCTGAGATTACAGACTGAACCACTACACCCAGCAGAGGTCATCCATTTACTGTGTATAAATTTTATTGCCAAGACAATTTCTAGTTTAACATGGCCCCAAAGCTTTAGACCAGTGTGCATGTTGTTTTTTGTTATTGTTGTTATTGTTATTTTAATCTTTCTGTGGTATCTGTGTGGTTCTCTAGAATATTGTTATTAGAATTCACTCCTAACTGGTTAATATTGATCCTCAAGTCTGTACACTATGATCTTTTATTCCTAGTCACAGGGGAAGAAACTAGAACACCTAAATTGCACAGTTCAGTAGCTGACAGGATTCAACCCTGGAATGTCTAATATCAAAATCATGGAACTCAAATCTGTTTTCACAGTTAAAAAATAAACTCCATTGTTAAAAAGCAACTTGTTTTGTTTTTGTCTTAGTTTTTGAGACAGGGAGTTTCTCTATAACCCAAGTTGACCTCCGATACCTAAATGCTGGGGTTACAGGCCAACACCACATAAAAAAATAACTTGTTTCCTCTATTATTTGGATTCCTTCTCCACAAGGATCATCAAGTTCCTCGTGTTTATCCCCTGACACTAAAGACTTACCCTGGGGTGCAAAAGTGAATGGCCACCAGCTCTGCCCAGCAAGCCAATCTGTTGGGGACAAGGAAGCCCAAAACGTTGACAAAGCCGCCAGGGAAGTAATGATTGCTAAGAACTTTCAAAGCAAACAAAACTCCTAGAAGAGAATAAAGAACACACCAATATCAACAACTCAAATTCAGAGAGAATCACTGGGCACAAAGAAACCAAACAGGAAAACTATTAACAATAAATCCAACTTTCTGCTTTGGAATGCGGTCAGTGAGCATGGCAGCCATTCCTTTGATGGATCCCAACATGGAAGTTCAAACTGCTTCCAAGCCCAGAACACACAAAGCAGGAATTCGTCAATGGTATCAAACACCAGGGAACTGTCCCTTTAAAACAGTAATTTTATGCCATATGGACATGAAGAATGGACAAATACCACTAACAAGTATTCCTTTAGCCTCTATGGAAAAACACTGAAAGCAGGGTGTATGGACTCCAATGGAGCTGGAGTTACAGGTGACTGTGAGTTGCCCAACAAGGATGCTGGAAGCTTGGGTCCTCTAGAAGAGCAGTATACACTCTTAACTCCTGAACTAGCTCTCCTTCTTGACTGGATATTTACTTTAATGACATTATTGAGAGGCACAAGCAACATCATCCTCTCGGTAACCGTGGACCAATTCATTTCTCCCCCTTTCAAGCTTATGAGTCATAAGAGTAACTGTGGAAGGTACCAAGTACAACAGGCTAAGATAAAGGTGGCACAGTGTTTTCTGGGCTTGTTCTTCAGGAATGCCTACAATCCTTGGGTGTACTGGGGTAAAGGAAGGCTGACTCTGAGAGGTTTCACCTGCAAATGAGATATATACAGTCAAGACCTCATCTGCCCTGGGATGCCTTCTGAGGCCTGGGGACCAGCTCACAGTGAACCCAGGCTTATGTAGCCCCTGAACTGCCAATATGTGAGTATTCCACTTGCTTAGTATTATCTGTTGCATACGAGTATATTATGCCTCACTGGACTCAAGACAAGTTGGTAAAAGTGAACCCTGAGCCTGCTTCACAGGCATAATCAGTTTTTCGAGAACACCCTTTTGAAAAGAAACCCATGAGTCCCTCCCTAGCGTTACCATGAGGGAGCCAGTTGTACACTTCCAGTACTGTAAAATCATCTTCTGGCAGGCCCTAGTCCTAAGTGCCCAAGAATGCAGATGCAGCATACTGGGGGGCAGCCTAAACGATGCCTTCGTATACCCCAGTCAGTTTGCTCCTCAAGATGCAGGCCCCAGCAACCGCTGACCACTCAGGATCCTGTCCCCTCACCAACTAGGAAAGGAAACAGGCTCTCACAAGTATTTCCTGAGAAAGTGTCCACCTTACCTGAGAAACCGACAGCACAGTTCCTTCTGAAGTCGGGTTGATTCATTAATTCGGCAAGAGTGAACTGCAAGACCAAATACACCACCCCTGTAAGTAGGGAAAATGTGGTGAGGAGATAGGCAAACCATCTGGTCCCCAGTCTTCTCTCCAGCTTTATTCCTTTCCAGAGCATGGACACCATGTTGAAATACAAATGCCAGTCATCTGCATGGTGCAGGGGAGAAAGCAGTAAACGCTGCCAGTCTTTTTGCTGGTAACACTTTTCCACACTGATGCAGGAGTAGTACAGGGGCTTCAAAGGATTCAGGAAGAACCAGATGTTGAGAGCCAAGGTTGCCAGGGTAACAGGTGGAATATTGTTGATCCCAACATGGACCACTTGAGAAAGTAGCATAAGGAGCCCGACGTTGATCCCTCTTGATCTCCGCTGCATGGCGGGATATCAGGAGCACAGATGGTGAAGTGCGTTGGATTAGGAACCCAGGAAGGCACGCAGGGAGCAGCACCTGAAACACATAGTGTGCGTGTGATACCCATCAGCTGGGAACTGTTTGCTGCGAGGACACTCACTGGAAGATGAGCATGCACAGGCCCGCCCTACTTCTCATCCCAACAGAGACACTTACTTTCGCTAACATCTTTCTTCATTCCACATTCTAAAATAGAAATTTTACCCCAGGGCCCAGTGGACTTAAGGACAGGCATGCAGTATGGTCATGAACTTGTAATGTGTCTTTCTTAATTAATTAACTAGTTAATTAATTAAAAGATAAGCCTAGAAACCTAAGTTTGATCCCTGAACCCATAAAAAGGTGGAAGGAGAGAACCAACTCCACACAGTTGTCACTTGACCTACACAGATGCACTGTGGTGTGCACACCCACAATATACACATTATATATACACAGAGTAATAGTAACAGTAATAACAATAGAAAAGGCATGGGCTAGGGAGAAGGCTCAGTGTACAAAGCTTGCTATTTAGGCATGAAAACCTGAATCCAGTCATTCAGAGGGAGGACCAACATCTGAGCTTGCCCTCTGACCTCCCACATACATGCCACAGCACATGTGTGCTGGCACTCACACGTCAGTCATACACACACGCCAAATACATGTACACACACACATACCATACACACATAAGCATGCATCATAGACACATAAAAAAGATAAAAATGACAACTTGGATGATGACAACCAACCCACAAAGACAGTATGCAAACAGCAATTTTAAGCAAATCCTTGCCAAGTCTCTCTATCTCTTCTATTATTTTTAGCAGAAAACACTCAAAATGCCAAAAAGCAGGTTTGTGAACATGTTATGGTCTAACCCAATTTTCATACTACCTGATGTCAACTCCCTAAATTCTTTGTCATAAGCTTTTAAAAAACCTATCTATGTGCCAAATCATACGCTGAAAAATGCAGCCCTTGTTTATAAGCTCACTTGTCACCAAGAAGGATACCAACCACTGCCATAGGATGTTGTAAGCACAGAGAGGAAGCCCACGAACCCAGGCACACAATTACGCTGATGGTGACAGACAGGATTACTGTCTAAAAGACTTCATTTGAGTTAGTGACAAGGAAGAGTTCGTGGGTCAGCGGTACTCCACTGCACCCTCTAGACTGAGGCTGGCATTGTGACACGCTTTGGATGACAGAAAGTAGAGGGGCAGATGATACAAGAAGCCCAAACCTAGCCCCAAGATACAACTGCAGGTGTCTGTTCCTGTGTGGGCTAGAGTCTGGGCTAGTCGGCACAGGCTCTTGTCCTCCGATGGTCCTGGCCACTGGCTAGCTAACCCTACGACTCAGAGCTGCCTAGCTGACGCAGATGTAAAGCAGATCCCGGTGAGCCCATCCTAACCTGAACCATGGAGAGATATGTGCCGGAGTGGTTTGGTAAGCATAATCACTGATCCAGAAGGTATTGACTTTGCAGAGGGACTGGTTCTTGTTCATGAGAAGCACCTAGTGAGCACAGAGGGTAGAGTGGGCAGAGACAGGCTAACAGCACGTCCATAAAAAGGATCAAGGGTTTGGAAGGAAGAACAGACAGCGGGGGTTAAGGGCGTCAGGTAGAAATACAGGCAGAGATAAAGCTCATTTACTGATGTGTGTTTTCCCACGGAGATTTCTCAGTGCCCGACTCCAGGTAGCAGTAACTAGACACTAGACCACACATGGGCTTTATATTTCAACTGAAAAAGGAAAATATTTAAAAGGAAAAAATTTGAAAAGCTTATACTTAACACCATAAGCGAGCCCATTGCTCTAAACTGAAACAACCAGTAATACCCCAGGACTGCTAGAACGTTCTAGAAGCAAAGGAAGTACTGGGAAAGTGCTAATATTTTCATTTCCATAGGGTCATATCACTTACGTTGAAATCAGTCCAACAAAGGGCAGAATTCCAGTAAGGCTCAAACTGCATGTCTTCCAATTACTTATTCTTCTATATATTTATAATGAATTCCTCTCATCTTCACACCACCCCCTCCCTCCTCTCCCACTGGCACCCCTGTAAACAAGTCCCCCCTCCTCTCCATGCACTTTTATGTTTTCTTCTTGTGAATTTAGAGTTACTTGCTCAAGTGTGGGAGGAAGTTATTGAGTGGAGCAAGGGCCACTTATCTATCTATGGCTATACCATTGAAGAAAGTGGTATAACACCCCACACGCTTTGATTGCTAATAGTCCTTTGGGGAAGGGTGTGACAGGCCCAATCTTGTACAGTCTTGTGTAGTGAGTTCATGAGTGCAGTGGCTATGTCACATCCAGAAGCCAACTTGATACTGCACACCTCCCTCCCATTCTCAGGTCTTGCATTTCCCCCTACCTCTTCTAAGATGCTCTCCGAGCCTCAGAGGGTGCACTATGGTGATCTGGATGAGAATGGTTCCCATAGGCTCATATGCTTGAGTAATGGTCTCAAGGCTATAGAACTATTTGGGAAGGGCTGGGAGGAGTATGTCCTTATTGGTGTGTCATAGTGGGCTGGCTTTGAAGTTTCAATAGAATCATGGCATTTTCAGTGTGTTCTCAGCCTCCTGCTTTTGAGGTTTAAGATGTGAGCTCTCATCTATTCCTGCCACTGTGCTTTCACTCTGCCATCATAGATTCTAACGCACTGGAACCATTAGCCCGATTTAATGCTTTCTTGTATAAGTTGCCTTGATCATGGTATTTTATCAAAGCAATAGAAAAGTTACTAATGCAGGTATTACAGTTGTCCATGTTGGAGCAGAACACTTCACCATCGATTATTCTCAGCCTTTTGGACAGTTAATGGGTTTCTGCATTAATCAATGTCTGCTACAGTAAGATGTGTATCTGAGGAAGGTGTGCTAGATACTTTTTTGTCAACTTGATACAAGGTATAGTTATTTAAGAGGAGAGAACCCCAATTAAGAAAATGCCTCCATTAGATCAGACTGTAGGCAAGCTAGTAGGGTATTTTCCTAATTAGTGATTGTTTGGGAAGGGCCTAGCTCATTGTGGTTGGTACCACCCCTGGGCTGGTGGTCCTGGGCTCTTTAAGAAAGCAAGCTGAGCAAGCCACAAGAAACAAACCAGTACACAGCACCCCTCTATGGCCTCTGCATCAGTTCTGGACTCCAGGTTCCTGCCCTGTTTGAGTTCTTGTCCTGGCTTCCTTTGGTGATGGACTACAAGTGTAAGCCAAAGAATCCCTTTCCTCCCCAACTTGCTTATGGTCATGGTGTTTCATCACAGCAATAGGGACCACAACTAAGACAGAAGGCTAAAAAACAGCACTTTTGGGGCTTGAACATGAGTACTCGGAATGCAGTTAGACTACATGATTGTTCAGCAAAACAACAGCAGGAGATTCCCCTACTAGAGCCTAGGGGAATGCTCTCCAGTCAAGGGCTCCTGACCAGGTTCATAAAACCAGGCATGAGTTCTGTCCTGTGGTGTAGACCTCAAATCTGACCAGAAGACCAGGACAGCTTCGTGATCGTCTCTATTTGCTGCACAGTTTTAACAACCTTCCCATCATGTAATGTGCATTACCCCACCTTTAGAACACTGTATCAACTTCACAGAAATAAACCTTGGAGTCACTTAAAGTGCACTGACAAATTACTTCACCAGATCTATCTGACAAACGAAACGCTATTTTAATTATGTAGTAATGTACACCAGACAGCGCTATATCAAGGTTGTGGCAAAAACATGAAGATTTCTTGAATATTGATGGGGAAATTAGCCATATTTACTTTTAATGAGAAATTAAAAATTAAACAGGTATGTAATAAGAAAAACTACACGGCTAGAATAAACAAAGAAACTGAATTCATAACTTGTGAAACCAGTGTGTCTCAAGGGGGGGTGGGGGTGGTAGGAGTAGAAAGGGAAAAGAAACTAATTACAGGGATTTTCAATTCCACTTGCAAAGCAGAAAATATTTCGCCATTATCATTTACCAAGGCTGTATATATCTCAATTTCCAGATTTAAATGTTCAATAAGAACTGAAACCATTAAATGGCAAGAATATACACCAGCCATAAATTCTATTCCCAATTTGGTATGTGATACTAACAAAATTAATTCCACAAGAGAAACAGACATGATAGAGTCTTAATGGGAGTAATTAAATGCCGCCCTGAAGACTGGGTTTCTCTGTATTATTGTAAGGGCAACAAATTCCCTGAAATCATCTTAAATTGTGTGGCTCCCTCTCCAAGAAACTGTTCATTGTTACATAGCTGAGAAAGATCAATGGCATACCATTACTGCTTTGAGACTTTTGGTAAATTTCATTTAACAGTTTTATATAGCTTAATGAATATTATTTTTAAAAAATCATAAGGTAAATATGATTAACAACTATTAATGACCTGCTATTATCTAGACTGAGAGCTTTCTAAATATCCAACTTTCTAAACACTTAAGTTTAGAAATTTTTAAATGGAGACATAGTTCACATATCATAATAATTACAGTCTTGAAGTATATAAAGGGGATTTTAGTCTACTCATAGATCATGTAACCTGAATTACATGATTCCTGAACTTGCTTGATGTCAAAAAGAAACCCCATGCCTTTTAGCAGTCCCAATACTTGTCTTCCCCCAGATCTTACTAATTATCCACCTAATTTCTGTCTATTGCCTATTCTGGACACCTCACGTAAGGGAGATTCTCCAATACAGAGCATTTGACTTCTTTTCCTTATTTCCAAAGGTATTACACCAATATTTGTTATGTTGAAGTAATGTTTCATCTATAGATGCACTATTATCTTGTTTCTCTACTTATCTGCAGATGGGCTTGTCCATTGTTTGCAGCCTAGCCCTATGATGCATAATACTCCAAGATTGTAGTATGCTATTTTTCTGTATGAACACACATTCCTAGGAGTAGAGTTACTGGGCCAAACTGTAACTCTGCCTTAACTTTTTTTTTTTTCAAACTCATGCACCATTGTGTACTCACTCTAGCAGAGTGCAACACATCTGGCTCCATCATACTCTCA